GGGAGGTTAAAAAAAATAAAAAAAAAAAAAGGGGCGCCTAAAACCCCCCCCACCCCCCCCTCCAAATTTTTAAAAAAAAAAAAAAAAAAAAAAAAAAAAAAAAAGGCGGTAAGAGTATAATGCCCCCATTTATACCAGCAAGCTTTACTGATTAACATGTTCCACCTGCTCCTGGGCACAGAGGGCAGAAAACAGCTGAGGAATTCTTCCCTTGATGCAGAACGGCCACGTCTTTCACCACAGCGCCGCACAGGGGGATTCTTGGCGAGCTTAGTCGACGTCTCTGGCAGATCACACTGAGGGGTCCAGAGGCGGAGGTTAACAAGCACCGCACAACAGACTCATCAGCTGCTCGGAGCTCAGCGTGGATTTAGGATGAAGCTCGACACGCTGTGCTCTTGATAGATTCATCACACTCGTTCTGTGTGGACGGCCCAATGCCTTGTATGGGTATGGGTGATAAAGCTAACTGGCTGACAGAGGACCCTGTGTTTACGCAAAACGTGTGTGTGCAGATCAGATGCTTACGAGGCTGGTTGAGTGGTAGAAAAATGTAAACTTTACTTTAATTGTTAATACAACCAAAATATGACCGAGTAAAGCACTGTCACTTTAATACAAATAAAAATGTCGTATGTAAGCCAGCGTGATCAAACACTACACAAAAATGCAAATGATAGATTAGATACAAATTTATAACCCGATCCCGACGTATGCAGGGACAACCAGAGGACTGGGAAAACTGGTTTTTAATATTCATTCAGCCGGGGTGTCCGGCTATCCAAAAAGGGGCTGGTCAAACCTAACATTTACCCTGCAACACTCTTCAGCTGGTTCTGGGAGATCTTGAGAAACGGCAAACCGGGACGAACACAAACTTATTCCAGTGAGTTCTGGGGTCGAGCCTGGGGTCTCCGTCTGGTGGGACATGCCTGGAAAATCTCCAAAGGGTTGGGTCCAGGAAGTATCCTGATAGAAGCAACTCCACTGATGTTGTTCCAGACGAGCAGCCGCTCCACTCTGAGATCCTCACATTAAGCTCAGGCTGAGCCAAAGAGATCAGGCTCATTTCAAACAATTCTACCCAGAACCTCGATCTTTTAGTCTTTAGGTGACATTTTATAGCGTCACGGTTTGAATCAGCTCCCATATAAGATTTTTGTTTGTCCGTATCAAGAGTAAACATGGACTTATTATATGAGATGGCATTCTGGAGTGCTAACACTAACATATTGTCTATTGTTGTTAACATAACATCTACAATATTTATCATTTTGGTTTTGATTCATAGAATTCAGCAATAATATAGAATAAAGTTCACTAGTAGTTTTAAGTAAATATGCTTATTTGTACTATTACTATTTTTGTCGTTCTCATGTTTAAAGAGAAACACAGGACTCTCAGCTTGCCAACTGTGGTTGCTGGTGGCAGCAGCTTAGTTTCCACACGAGTGTTTGTGCTTTTTCTTGTGATGGAGGAAAAGCCGTAGTAGGTCACATTCAGTCAGCTGACTGACTGTGTGCAGCAGATATGCAGATATGGTTGGGGTTACGTTACTCCATGCTCCAAACAGCAGCAGAAAACTTGGGTTCCTTTCTCTGGTATTTCATTAAAAGAAAATTAAGTCATAGAAACACCATGATAGAAAATATTTAGCAGTTTTAAAAAGTTTTTCAAAACCTCAATATATCTGGTTAAACGGTAAATGGGCTGAATTTATATTCACAGTTTGGGGTTAGGTGCCTTTGCCCAGGGAAGCTGGAATCGAACCAACAACCTTCCGATCACTGACTAAATTTCATTCTCATCTCTGTGGAGAGGAGCTTAGACAACTGCAACAATTTCAACAGGCAAAGTCGCAAGTTCTTGCATTTATTTTGATGAAGCTGCAAACGGAAACCTGAACCTTTTAGTGAGCCGCTGAAGGTCAGAAGGTCGTCCACATTGTTAAGAACCACCCTGTTGTGTCCATTAATATTTAAGCTGAATTTCACACCATCTCCATCACTATCAAGTCCTTTTTTTCCTCCCACACCTGAAAATAAACACGCAGCAAGAGACCCAGAGAAAAATTATGTTTCAACTGCCTCCACTAGCAGAACAAAGAACAGGACGGACAATAGGGGTGTAAATCTTTTGCCCCCAAAGTTTTTTTTTTTTTTTTTTTTTTTTTTTGTCATTAGCCGTCACCAAGTTCAAATGCTTCTAAACACTGAGGGGTGTGTTTACACATTTTCCACCTCAAGCAGACGGAGGCATCAAAGTGAAACTGTGATAAATTCGGAGCATGAGCTGAGAGGGGCTCTCTCTAAATGTTTAGAGAAAACTCTTGCTGAGGAGGAAGGGCAGCAGGAGTGCTCAACTGTTTACAATAATGTCAGGCCAGCATACACTCAGCTACTTTAACGCACAACACGCCAAGCATGAACATGAAACGGAAAGATTTCAAAGGCGTTCAAAGTTCTTTGAATGTAAATCGTCGACAGGAGGAACTTGGAATCTGCTTGCCCATCTTTCTCAATAAAAGAACTGAAGTTTTAGCCACACCTAACATGATGAAACAGGAAAAGCTGCAAGGCATAGTTGGGGCATCTCGTGGATTAGACTTGGAACAAAATGTTAGAAAACAAAGAGGCAGAAACCTCGAAGGGACAAGCAGAATTTCTTTTCTTCTTTCCAAACCAGCCTGCTTTCGCAACTCGATCTCCTATGAAACTTTAATGCCGATAACAAGATAAATTACACTCACAGCATATTGCAGACCGGTGTCACTGTTTTCAAAATAAGGTTCTGAAACCCCAGAATATATTTGACACTCTTTACACCCAAACACTAAAGATGTTTGTAAGCCCTGAGGCTATTTTCACCCTGGAGGAGAGGCCTGTCTTGTTGGACTGGAGGAAAAGCTACGGCACTCCCTCAGGTGCCTTTAGAGCAAAGTCATTAAATATAAACAATGGAAAACAAAAAAAAAGGTCCTGTAGGACAGGAAAGATGGCTGCTCCCTCCAACCGACTGCTAGTATGAAGTTGAGCGAGCTGCACAATATTTGAGCTGCTAATGGCACCAGGCTGTGTGGAAACCCAGTGTAAACATCCAATCTGACAACCTACACACACACAGACAGACATGCAGCGGAGAGGCGATTAAAGCGCAGATAAATGCTCTGATCTTGCACATCGAGTTTAGTTTCAGTTCCGTTTGTGCGTAAACTGTAGAGCAAAGAAGAAGCAAACACTGAAGAAAGAGCAATATGCAAACAAAACAAATATGAGCATCTCTGCAGAGAGAGGAGATCCAACCTGTGCTTTTCTTCGGGGGTCTCCTCCAGTGCCGCCTTTTTGCTCTCCGGTTCCTCATCTTCCTGCTCTCGTACCTGCAGATGCATCAGCACGGTAGGACCATTTTAGCAAATAGCATTATAACAGCACAAAGGAAAATAAGAATCACTGCATTCAGCCATGAAAAAATAAGAAACTTCCCAATTTTTTTTTAAAGAACATATATGATTCACCCTAGTTTAGGTCTGTCACAAAAAAACCACAGACCATCATTTGCATAGACAAATATAATTATGAGTGTTTGTAATGTCCTGTCATTTGGGAGTCAAATGACACATTTACATTTTGAACTTCATTGCTTAAACTGCTGACCTGTCCAGACGTTTCTGTGGGGAAAAAAAAAAAAAGATAAATCTGGAAATGTGGATGTTTTATGCACTGGTGGGGGGGGGGAAGCAAATGTATTGCTTGCATAAAGTCTATCCACATGTACGGTAATCAAGTGAGAGAAATTACAAAACTCATTTGCAAAAATTAAAAAGCAAGCCCCATCCACCTCTCAAATATATTGACCTAAATTTCAAAGTTTGCAAGAAAGGAAATCAAACCCCTCCCAGGCTCTTATTTTCCTGAAGAGGCTTCCTGTCCACCTGCTAGAACAATTCAGGGCAGTGACTTCTAATTCAAGTGCAGCACAGAAGGACAACAACTGCAGACTGGAGGAATGTCAACAAAACATCTGTCAGCCATTCCAATATCACAGGATCTTATGAAAAGAGAGGATGAGGAGGGGGGACATGGGGTGGCACATTGAATACGGTTTCTGCAAAAATCCCTTTGTGGAGCATGCAGACGACCAGCATAGTGGAGCAAATGTTTCAACACAGACTGTAACCCCAACGAGGACCTGAAAATCAGAAAATCATCTTTGTTTCAAACAGATCCCACTCAGAGGTTGAAGTGGAGGAAAAATAGTAAGCCCACCCAAGTGAAGTGAACCGAGAACAAGTCTCCGTGGTTACTGCTGCTACCGACCATTTACCTCTGGAGGTGGAGCAGGATCTAGAAATGCAATCAAACCTACTTACCCTGCTTAAAGTTGCAGGTCAGAAAATCAATATGCAAACAAAACAATTGTTTATTACCACGGCCATATTAGATTTGAATATTAGGTTTGTGACTAACTCTTGTCCTTTATTCTTGGAATGACTTATTGTCCTGTTGATTTTCTAACGTAATATTTTATGTTTTAATTCATATATGCAAAACAAATGGGAAAGATTATTATAGTTATAGTAATGATTATTATTTTCTATGTTTGTTTGTTTTTTTCTGGGGAGAGATAGATAAATGCCAATAGTCCAACTCATGTTGTGAGCAGAGTGGTAACTGGAAAAGTTTGTATTTAGTGAAGCTGTAACTGAATCGGTGCCTAAAATGTTTGTGTGTGTGAATGAAACAGCATAAATTGTTTTCCGCTGAGATACAACTTTTAAGTTAAATAAAAAAAGACATTTAGTTCCATAAACCAATGCCAGTCTTCAGAAAACATATGTATACATAGCTTCATCTATTTAAAGCAGTATAATCACATTCCTCTGTAAAAGGGCTCACCACTAATGGAAAAATACAGACATATTTCTCCTCCACTGTGAGCCTAATGTCAACTTGCTTGTTTTCCATGCCCGTTTATTTTTTTTTTCTTCTTTTAAACATTTTTTTTTATTTAATTTTTTTTTCTCTAATGCAAGGACTTTAAAGTTGGGGTCAGAAGGCATTTGTAGACTTTAGATTACATTAATTTATATTTATGTAGGACTGGGTGATGAATTGATTTTATGAATTTATCAAATTTTCAGTTGTTTTTTTTTTTTTCACCAATCCATTCTTTGGGTTTTTGTCATTTATATCAGCTCTCCCAGGGCGTTTTACAAGCATGTTTAACAGGTGGTATTTATTTTCGACTCAAATTTCAGGTTTACTTTAAGAAGGGGTCACTGAAATAAAATCAGATTTAGCCATTTATACTGAGACTACATGCATCCAGGTAGAATCCAATTACAAATATGTTGACTTCTAAAGGAAACTAGTTGGATTAGATTTTATTTGAGGGTATCGGGTAAAGGGAGGTGGGGGAAAAACTGCTTGCCTCACAGATTTTTATTTGCAAAACAAAAATACAAGGGACTGTCTTGACTAAGTCTTTGCAGTCTAGCATTAAATGAACGACGCAATAGGACCTGTCACAAATTTAAAGTGATCAAATACACCGTGTAATTTAATCTACTGGAGTTTAATATCTTTCTCAAGCGAACATCAGGTTTTCAATGTTGTGGCCGAAAAACGTTAATATAGGTGCAACATAAAGCAATGTGCACGGACAAAGCAACCTTCAGTCTAATCATCAAGCATATAGAGAGGTAAGAACATAAAACATTTAGCTTAGCTAATCAGCACTGCAAAAAAAGATCAAATATGCCACACAACGACCATTACAAAAAAAATTTGACTCGAACTCATCTTAATTTAATGTCTAAACAACTATACAAACACACACACACAATGAACTTGAATAAAAATGGGTATTTTTTCAATTCCTTTCCTCAACTCATTGGCTAACGTTAGCCTGAAGCTAAGTTTGCTAACGTTACCTAGCTTAAAAAATACGATTTGTTTAACTGTGTTCAAATTCTCAAATATTATTCCAAGCTAGAAGAGGGACTTACGTGAAGTTTTTTGTCCCTCAGCGCTTTGAGTCTCTCTTTTCTCTTCAGAGCCTGTTCCTGCAGCGACCCGACGTTTTTCTCCATGTTTATCTCTCCACACGCCGCTCAACTCCCTCTGACATCCATTAACAGACCCTTGCCACAGCAGGGCGTAAAATCGCCCGTCGAGCGCTTCAACTTGGATGGTCTGTTGCCTGCTCATGTGATTTTGTTTTGAAAACAAATGTGCCCCCAATTAACAACGAAACCATTGTAATTTTTACATCTTTGTAAAATAACAAAAGAGGTATTGTCTTGCAAATTAAAAAAAAACCCACACATTTATTAATGCATATAATATTTGCATTTGTAATATTGTGCGTAGATGACAAGTTATTTTTCTCAAATTGTTTATTATTCAATTACATTTTACAAATGCTCTCTATATAGGTCCAAGTTCATGTAAGCAAATATTACCGCCTCACTGTAACGTTTGCTGATGGTCACAGTGTCAGGTCTTGTTTAGGAATGTAGGGCATTGCCATAGTAATTCAGCTTCCTCAAGCTGCACTGGGTCCGTGTTTCTGGTGATTAACATTAGCGTGTTACAACACAACCCTGTCATGGTGATGTTGAAAAACCCAGAATAATAACCTCAGGGGGGGAAAAAAACAAACTCAAGGTCAATCAGTAAATAAATAAACTCAAGTTCCAAATGAGATTCACAGTTTAACAAAACCTGAATATCAAAATAAAATAATATAGCACATTATATTTATCTTGTCCATGGATCACTACACTAAATGTGTTGCACAAGCTGCACAAAGAAATGGTTCAGTAAAGCCACTGAAAGATGCTCTAGTCAGAAAAAGAAAACAAACCTATGCAAACTTTTTTTTTCTTTTTTTATAAATATAAACCTGAAAGGTGTGGCATGCTTTTTTAACCATCTCCTCTGACTCAATACATTGTGCAACTACCTTTTGCTACAATTACAGCTGCGAAGCATTTCTTCTCTCTTTGCAATTACTTGCCAGGAAGGTATTTTGTAGACAAGACAAATATATGGTTTTAGCTAAACTATGGATTGTTGAGAGTAATGGGGATTGATTTCAAACACATGCCACACTTTTCAGGATTTTAAAATAAAACATTTTCAGAACATGTCGTCTCCTTCTACTTCACTTTGTGTTAGTCTTCCAGATTTCTTGTGACCTCCTACTATTTATTAAAAATGAAATGTACCCTCTACCTAATCGAACCTTATACGTTTTAATTTCAGTATTCATCCTCTAGCAGGGTATGACAATTATCTCTTTGTTTCTTCATTTTTATTTCTAGATTACTTTATGAATGGCATCCCCCCCCCCCATGCATCTGCTGTTTATTACAGTCTTGTTAAATACAACATAATAAACAATAAAGAACCATTGATAATGGAGTCTGAAGTTCAGCTCTTGGCTGTTTATTGTGCAAAAACACGCGTTCCTCGGCCTTCAAAAATGTCCCTGGTTCTTTCTACTGTGAAGAATTTGCTTTTATATTTCTATTTTCCTTTTTGGAACAGGTAGACTTGTCTTCTGCCGATGTTTGGCCGTGTTTGGTTAAGCCCGTGTTTATTTGTGCATGTGTCTTTAAGAATATCAGTCTACCTGTGAGCATGATCTCCAGTCAACTTCCCAGTGAATTCATGGTCTTGTTAACAGTAGTTGATGATCAGTCGCTGCTTGCCCGCCCTCTGAAAGCAGCTAACCCCAAACGGGCAGCGCTGTCGTTTCTGGGTCCCGAGTGGATGGCACCTCTCGGTTCTTCCGTGGGAGCCCTCTCCAGCAGGATTCATACAGCAACAAGCTCGCTGTAACTGCGGACATAAATGGGTGTTTCTCCGGGCGTGGATTTCCACGCATTTTCCTCCCCTGTGCTTGCACAGTTTCGGCAAGTGATCGAATCAGCGATTTGGTGTTTCTCCCCCCAGCCCCCCTGCGTTTTTTGATAACTTTGCGTTTGGACACTTAGAGCTGTTTTTCAATATTTGTTTTATCATTCGGATTTGTGTACCTCTGTTGGATATTTGCAGGAATGGTTGGCAGGAGCGCGCCGCGTCCCCCTGCCTTTAGGAAGCAACTTCAGACAGACGCCGCTCGCATGATTCTTTGAAAGAAAAAAGAGAAATATACACAAGGAGGTGATGAGCAACCACAGAGGCGGCGGAATGGCATCGAAGGAAAGGCTGTACGAGCTGTGGATGTTGTATTACACAAAGGTGAGTGCGAGTGCGGAAGAGCCGACGATGACACCTGTTGTTGTTGCTCCTCTGCCCGAACTTCAGAGTTATTCAGAGCCGATAAACGCGTAGCGATCAGGCCTGTGAGCCCCGTGGTTAGTTGTCAGGCTTATATGAGGAAATCGCTTCTTTTTCGCCTGCTCGCCTATAAACGGCGTTTATTTACCTTGTGACTTTGGTTTGCGTTGTGTAAACCGAACAAGTAGCGTGTGTCGTTTTCGTACATTTCCGAGACTTTTCACCTCTAGTCACGAATAAACTGCCACTGAAACACTTCTTAAAGTTAATTAGATCATGTACCTGCGATGCAGGTGTTTCTGGGACGACTTCCTGTTCCTGTTCCTACCTGGCTGCCTGTCTTCCTCACTGAAACATGTTGTAGCTGTATGACAATGTTCTTAAAAAATGGGATGCAAGGACTATTTCTTTTTAGTGGAATTTTTGTACCAACCAATTACTAGCTAAAATGTAAAGTTAGTTAGCTATAATGCAGGCTCGGTACATGATCTGATAATTCAGAGTTGCCAGCTTTAGGTGTAAAACAGGGATAGCTTAGCAGAGTGAAGGGTGATGATATCATGGCTTTCTGTGTTTTTAGTACTTGGAGATATTTCCCAACAGTCAAAGCTGTACTTTTATCTGTAGAAGCCTTCTTTCTGCCAGCTGTCTGGCACTATGCAGCAACAGGTGGGGAGGGGCTGCACTGTGTTATACTATTCTCCATCACTCTAGCACTTCAGCAGCTTTCTGTGTGGAGTTCTAACTACGGATGTTTCCTCTGGTACTCCATGGATGTTAGGTTAATTGTTCTCTCTAAACTGCCTTCAGTTGTTAGTGTCTGCTTGCCTACTTGTCCCATTTTTGTCCTCGTGTTGCCCTGTGATGATGACTGCTAGAGATGGTTGCCCGGACAATGCCAACACCCCAATCCTGCTCGTAATAAGCTAGAATAGAAACTGAATAGATGGTATAACTCGGTACAGGTAATTAGCTCATGACTCATGGGGTTAACAGTTCATCAGGAACATTTACATCTGAAGTTAGAACTTGATCTTAACCAGTTTCTCAGTAAAAATTGAATGCTTAGGTAGATCTATCCTTAAACCAGCCTGTAATTGGTACCAATTAAGATATGTCTCTGTTTTCCCCCCTTTAATGAGATGACTCAACAAACTTGTGAAATCTTGGTCTGTTGTACCACAGTTTTAAGCTCGTCAGTAAGTATGACTGGAAAACCTTTACTCCAGTGGTAGTTGTTATAAAAAGTTTGACAGCCTCTGCGTTCTTGGATAAATTAGGCATAGAGCCCGTTTAACTCCACAGTAGATCATCATTTATTACTCTACCCTCATGTTTATACGTTTTCTTGAAACCTAGATTCTGAATAATGATTTCTGCTTAGCTTGGCTCTGAATGGGCAGTGACTCATTTATTATTATTTCATGTCTTAGCAATCTGCTTCTTTGCCTGAGGACAGCCCTGCACTCTCTCTCTTTAGTCTCTCTTCACAGCAGATCTGCAGTTTTGACAATTAATAAATTTCATTAAGATTCTTTTTTTTATCTCTGTTGTTTGGTCAGGCCTAATCACAGCCTATGCTCCAAATTCATTTGAGAAGACGGCAGTCAAATTTGGAAAATCAAAAGTTAGGCATGTTCACTACAGTAGTAAATGTAGCCTGTTTTTACTCTTTTATTATGGTATTTACTCAAAATATTTAAAACAAAACTGCATTTTAAGCTCTGATTTCTTTAATTTAAAACTATTTGCCCTTCAGTGCACAGTTTGATGTTTGTTGCTTTAATGAGTTCACTTTCAGCACCTTCACTGTCAACAATTATTCTGTATATTAGTAAGAATAAAATAGTCTCTCCTGCCAGGAGGGTACAGTAAATCTCGATTCAGGTAACCAGCCCACTCCTGTCAGAGCTTTGTTGTATGACTTCTTGCACAACATATTATCAAATGAGTCATCTTAATCATTTTTGGCTGATCCCAGAGGATTTTTTTTTTTCTAATCTACTCTTTTATTTCCCTCTCTGCGTTTCTGCTGCATAGACAGCTGTAGGTGTGCCAAGCTTTCTGTTTGTGCAAGAAACACCAGCTTGAAATCTGCACTGCTGTCTTGGTCTGTTGCTAGAAAGAATCAGAGTTAAAGCGTGTGTTTGTGGTGTCTGGTGCCGAGGAGTTACAGTGAAACTCCTCTGAGTGAGAGTTGTCTAGCATCTCTCTCTCTCTCTGTGTGTGAGACCACTTCCTTATTAAGGTGAGTCTTGGCTGTCTGTCACTTTCCTCTCTCCCTGTTATAAATGAAAAGAAATGGCTAATAATGGTCCTTTTAAAACCGATAATCAACACTTGCTCTCATCAGTGTTGGTTTTTCATCTACTCAGGTGGTAGAGGTAAAGGGTATAACTCATGTCTGATGCAACCTCTTCATGTGATTCACACAGCGTAGAGACACAAGAGGCTGCAGAGAAGCAGCAGAACTGATTCCCCAGCCTCTCCTTTAGAGCCTACCACACCATTGTGTTTAGTGCTTTTGTTATCTGCCTGTTAGGTGAGTTGGCGCAGACAATCATTTTTCAACTGGACACATCCCTTTACTGACTCACAGGTCTGGTTCGTCACACATCAAGGAGAGATTTGACTGTAGTAAATAAGTTGAGCTGCACAGCAAACCCGGGCTTTGTTGAGTCTTTTATTGAAACCGTTGACGAACCCTCAGCAGCTTCGCGCAGAGTCCCCACGGATGACCTGCTTTATTTGTTTTAGATGCACAATTTCAGCCGTTTGTCTCTTCAGGTTTTCTTGAATTTCTCTCTGTAGTGGTTGAGGACTTGAAGGCTCTCAGCCTTCACGTACTTGCAATAAAACTCAATAAAAAAAAAGCAAAACTTG